TATTAATTTTCAACATATTTATTCAATAATATGTATTAATAAAACTACTTTGCATAAAATTAGATTCTATTTTTTGCACATTTCCTGTAGTAAAAAATATGATTTTGATAATTAAGTTTAAGTGATTAACCTAAAAGTTATTATTTAAGTACAAAAAGGTCAAAATAATTGTACCGTTGCTTTTACCGCTGCTTTCGTAGATGCAAACTGTCCCCTAATTTTCTTTGCAATTTGAGTTACCCTGTACAATTAGATATATCTAATGAACATGATTGTATATTTCTTTATAAAATCCTTAATATAACAAGTGTCAGCGCTGACATACCTTAACCTAGTCAAAGAACAACTAGAAAATGAACTCTTTTGGAATAACGAATACTTTTCAAACGCCTAATAGCTATTCCAGAGTAGCACGTGCTCTAAATTCTGTCATTCTGCGCAAAGTAAGTATAATTTTATTTGTAGTACCCTATCTGTGAAACTGGTCCGGCTATAGGTTCTCTAATCGTCTGTCCATCTAGATTTCCCTCTGTCTGTAAGTCTGTCAGTCTGACCCACTTGGTTTTCCGCACTTTTCTAAACGCTTGCAAATATTGAGCTGAGTTTTAGCATGCGAGTCTACCTTGATGAGTTACAGATCAGTTTGCATTTCGTTTCGCTTCGATGATTTTTTTTCGGATCGAATAATGGGTTTCTTAATTTCGTACTGGGACCAGACTTCAAACTTGGTTCTCTACACATGCAGATATTTTGTTATGTAAATCTACCTTAATGAGTTATTGATCAAGTTTGCATTTTGTTCCTCATCAATGATTTTACGGAATTACAGCTTTTTTAATGTTTATGGGGAACCAGATAACAGTTGCCGGTAGGGGACTAGTATTGCTCAGAATGCTTGTTATCATTGAAATAATTATAAATATTGATTTTATAAAATCGCGATTTTGTTATTCATTTGGAAACAATATTTCTATGAACGTAAAATCTTATTACTTTGATTTTTTTGCAATTAAATAGTATTCAGTTTTAAATCATATAATAATCAATAAATACATACATGTATATTAAAGTTCAAGGACCCTCTATATACTTAAAGAAAAAAAAATTTGGACATTGAGAAAATTAAAGTGTGTAACTTTGTAAATACGGAGCTTATCTAACACAATTTCTACATACAGTACCTTGTATTTACCCCCAGGAAAAATATTCAAAGACAATGAAGTACTGATGAACAGAAATCACTGTTTTTAAGAAGGCAAAATACCTGCAAATGAAGTGTTTAATCTATTCATCTTGGCCTATTAAAATGTTAAGGATTGCTTGATTTGATTACAAATTATCTTTTCTGGTATCTGATAGAGTTTGATTTTCTTCTTTTGATTTGTATTTGGTATAATGGCTCCCTCCCATCTGAACATTGTATCCCAAATTGTCCATCCGCGAATAAGGTAAGTCCTTCCTGTGTATGTATCGTCCCTTGTTTTTTTTTTTTTTTTTTTTTTTACAAACGAATGGGTTAGCAATTACATGTTTGGTTCAAATCGTCACGTTTAACATGTGAATCGTATATGAAATTTTATAATTAACTTAAATTTCTCACTCTCAATATGAAGTCTATATTTTCTTTCTTTTCTAGGACAAAGATCGAAGAAGCTTTAAATGACAATACTGAGGTCAAAAATTCAGTCAACGAAATATCCGCTGAAAGAGAAGCACCCATCGAAAAGTAAGTCAACATCATTTGCTATTGATTTCAAATTCATAGATACGAGGATTGACCCAAATGTAATGTGACAACTGCTATAAAATCTATATTAATAAAAGTTTTCAACAAAATTTTATATACTAATACCACTGTCTACTTTGACTTTTGCTCTAACATTTCATTCAGATATAGCCCTATTCAATAATTCATGAAATATTAGAACAAACACAAATCTTGCTCTCGTCTTTTGCCACACGGCAACTAATCTACCGACGTCTTGACGTTGCTTTTCGACACTCATTTTTAATCGGATGATACATAAGATTTATGCAAAAGGGAATGAATATAGAAGTACAATTTGAACAAACTTTAAGTAATTTCAATACTACAACTCAAAACAAGATGGTTTATAAAAAATAGCTGTAAAGATTATTAAAAAGAAGCATGTAAGAGGTCAAAAAGATAAGCGGGTGAACTGAAAATGAGTGCCGAAAAGTAACGTCATGACGACATCGGTAATATGCTTGCCGTGCGGCGATATATTTAGCCTAACATCGTGTTTATCTTAATTTTTTAAAAGTATTTTATGTAATCAAATGAAATTTTAAGGTAAAAATCAAAATTGGTAGGGGTATTAATATGACAATATTGACAACATTTCATTATTAAAGATTTTATACCAGTTGTGACGTTATTTTAGGATCAACCCTCGTGTTAATCACTTAATGTGGCATTCCAACTGAAACATAATAAATAAAAAATGAATGATGTATGTATGATTTTGAATATTTTTTTTTTACAGTAAACACGTGGCCCTTGACACTTGTCCAAGGAAACTAGGTTTCATAACATCCGTTTAGGTTAACCGCCAAAAGTGCTATGTTGTGTATCCGAGACAACAAAGGGTGACCTATGCAATCTGTGGAGGAAGGTATTTTTTATTTTCACCAGGACTATACAACATCGAGATTGTATTCTATGTCTTTGCATTATTTTGTTTTTCTACTTTTATATGTATACATGTATATAAAGACTAGTATAACTAAGGAGATTGAAAGAACTTGTGAAATTAAGTTAACAGGATAATTATGTTACATTTAGAGTGACCTGCGAATAATTAAGCTTAATCCAGTGTTTGTTAACTTGTTTGTTGTTTAACGTCCCTCTCGAGAATTTTTCCCTCATATGGAGACGCATAGTCCAATGTAGACTCTGTCAAAGACAGATTATCGTTCGGATTTTAAAAAAAGAAGAAGAAAATTTAATGTACCACTTCCTAAATTCAACACACTGGATTTTTGATAATTCTTTAAAAATATTTCCAGCGATAGAACTGTATACACTATTCTATGCTTAAGGAAAACCAAGAAAAAATTAAGCAAATTATTTACCTTTTTCATTTCCGAAAAAAAAAAAAACTGTTATTATTTTTCTCAAACAAGATTTTATTTTTGTTAGTTTAACATCACTATTTTCATTTGACTGATTGTAGTGGTTGTTACGGGAGCAAATATTACAAGAGTAAATGCGTCCGAAATGGATGGATCAAGCTGAGATTTTGGGTGTGGTGCCCAGGTCGTGGTTTTCTACTGATTTCCAGGTGGTACCCACAGTGCTGTTCCTGCTACAGATGGCGAAGTTGCTTCTAAGTAGCATAAATGAATGACATCTCAGAAGAACTTTTTTTTAAATCAACATTGTGTTTTCAACAACCGTTAGTTATGATTGTTTCTACATCTCTTTTTTTCTTAATTTTTGCTATTTTTGCTATTTCTTTTAATAAAAAAATTCAACCTGAATTTTAATCGTTTATTCGTGCCTTTGACAATTCTTCTTTTTTTTAAAGAAATGTTTTTAAGTTTTGTGTGATGTATTATTATGTAAATCACACAGACTTGTCACGTAGGCATATTTCATGAAGCGCGCTAGCTAGTGCAGGTCTGTGTGATTTACACACCAATAAATCACACAAAACTTAAAAACATTCCTTATATTTACATTTTACAAGTTTAAAATAACCAATGATATACTCAACATTTGAATTTCTTGCTGCCTTATATCGTTACATTTTTATTAACTTCTCTATAGCCTTATTGTAACGTCACTTTAGCCCGAGTTTCACCGTGTACATTTCTACGCGTGAGTAAACACAAAAATAACTTCCAAATCAATTTCACAGTTGTCTTATTAGAAAAACACAGCAAATGTAGATATTCTAAGATATTGTGTTCTCTGGTCAACTGCAGGCACATGGAACTTTATTTTATTTATTTTTAAGCGCTAAGCACAGCTTAAACCCTTTTAGGAATCATACAGAAATATTTAAATTTTCTGTTTTTCTAGTAAGCCAACTGTGAAATTGATTTGAATGTCATTTTCGTATATTTGAATTCAACGTGTAATTTTCTAATAAAGTCTGTGGAAAGCTTCGGGATTCAAAACACTATTACATAGACGGGGAGGTCAAAGGGTTAAGGTATGAATATTATTTTATTTTGACGTCACAAACGTTGAATGTTGTGCAAGTGCAACGTAATAAGCAAAATCAAAATTCACGCTCACGTAACAGTCTGACGGTAGCAGCCACTGCAATAGGTCCTACATTACTTGTAACTTACACGAAGGAAAAATACAAGGATTTTGAAATATATATTACATATGCAGACAAGACAGGAAGTTAAAGTATTTTGAAATAGGCATTGAATTATTATTATCTTTTTTTTTTTTTTTTTTTGAAAGATGTAGTCTCATAAACACATGAAGCCTAACTGTAACTGTGTGTGCAAATAAATTTTCATAACGTGCTAACGCACATTGCTCAATTTGTTTGCACACAGCTTTGCAGTAACGAGACTATATGTTTCCAAAAAAAAATAATTAAATGATAAAGTATAGGGGCCTACTCACGTTTAGAAATATACACGGAGAAACTCGAGCTAAAGTGACGTCGAAGTAAGGCTACAGAGACGTTAATAAAACTACAGATATAGGGCAGTGAAAATTCAAACAATGAGTATATTTTTGTTGCATTTAAACATAAAATGTTTTTAAGTTTTTGTGAGTTATTGGTGTGTAATCACACAGACTTGTCAGTTGTCACGTAGGCATATTTCATGAAGCGCCAGCGGATAGTACTGAGTAGTGGACCATATCCTGTTCACATGTCAATTTTATTGGTTAAATCGTAGTATAACTACGTTGATACCTTTCGCATTATATATGAGAAGATAAATCAGCCGTAAATACAGTCATACAATTTGGGAACTGCATCGGCTGAAAGATATAAAAGAAGAAAATGATGGTAAAATATTTTCGTTACCATTAGCAGTTTATTGTTTAAAATCTGATAAATACAGGCATTCATAGACAATTCTTTACAGAAAGCTACATTTTTAGCAATTTGATTTACAAATGAGATAATCTATACTAGGGATGGGTTTTGATTAATTAATTTTTAGCTGCAATTTTGCTCTAAATATATGTTCTGAATTTACGAATATTCTTGTTTACTTAAAAATCAAAATCAATAATAAGCTTTCTTTTGAAAATCTTACCTGATCATCGCTTATGGTACAACTACTTAATTTGAAATTATTTTTAGAAATTCCATTCTGAAATATGGTCTTCATTGGAAATAAGCACTAATTATAAGAAAAAGAAACCTTTATGAATATCATTAAGTCATATATGTACATGTATGCGTCGACACAAAACACGTATTTTCATTTTTATACAGATTTTATACAGTTTGTTTTATACAGACTTTCATAGTTGCTGTCCTTGTGGCGTGTTTTGTTTATTCCAATAGTCAGGAGACTAAATGCCTTTTCGAAGATCCCACAGAAAAAAGCATTGATGGTTCAACAAGAGCCCAGACAAGTGATATTATGTAAGTGATACAAAGGCGATCATCGTAGAAAGTTAAAATTTTGTTCTTTTACATCTCAGTGGGTAGTGTATCCCCTTCCTCGCTGATCTATTACTTATATTTCAGCCATAGAAATGTTCGGGTAATCTTTAAAAACCTTAAAAACAAAACTGCAAGCAGCAGGTATAGAAAAAAATGTTCTAGAAACTAAAACTGAATCTCGAAAGGTCTCTCTTATCTATGCTATGTTGCTGTTGGTTTGAAAATTAATCATTAGAAAACGAAATAACCATCTACAAGTTGACTTGATTATCGAGATGTAAATTTGTTCTTTACCTTGATACTGGATGTATAATGAACACTCTAGCATGTGCTTTCCTAGAATTTTTTTCGAAACATATTACGTGAGTACAAAATCTTTATTTTCTTTTTATTGTTAGTCCTCTCGCAAGAATTATGATACCTTGATATTTGGTTGACAAGACTCTGGTTTAGCCTAGCATTTTTGTGGATGGCATTTGACTTTTTTGGGAATTTTTGAAAAGTGTACCCCGCCTAGTTTCATTACTGTACCTCAATTTGCACCCTACCGAATGTGAAGAGTCTTTCCACTGTATCTGATAGAAAAAAAACTCTCTCTTATATCATATTGTATAAAATGTAGCGAAAGGGCGAGCAGTTGCAATACAGGTTTTGCACACATTGTCATGAGGGACATACATAAAATTGTCTGATTTTTTTTCCGGCAAATAGTTGATCATTTTTAAAAACTAATTAACTATTTTTTTTTTCTAGAGCGAAGATCGATGCTGCCTTGAATGAAGAGACTGCTGTCAACAATTCAGTGAACGAAATAATCGCTGAGAGAGTAGCACCCATCGAAAAGTGAGTCGATGTTATCTACTTTAGATTAATCTTGAATTTATGTATACCTGTATTTACATCTTTCGCGAGATTTGGGTTTAAACTCAACAAAAAATATTGAATAATTTCTACATTAAGGATTTAAAAATTTCTTTAATTTTTAGTAAATATTTTGCCCTTGACACTTGTCCAAGGACACTAGTATTCGTCACATCTGTTTACATAAACGATGATGTGTGTTATGTTGTTTATCCGAGAAAACAAAGGGTGACATATTCAATATGCAGAGGAAGGTAGGATCTGTTTCTAGTTCTATACTCATATATACTCTATACTCAGTTATAAAAATAAACACTACGCTATGTGAAATGATGTCAGCAGGATAATATTTTATTGTCTAGGATGACTTAAGAAAAGTACATCTTATATCAATATTTATCAAAAACAAACCATATTAAGACCATACTAAGATCCTTCCAAACATGATTTACACATTATTGATTTTAAAATTTTACAAAATTATCTTTAGCGATGAAAAAAGACTATTTATTTATCATATCCTTTTATATCACTTGCTTTTTCTAATTTACATTTACATGATTGTAGTAATTGCTTCGGGAACACATTTTACAAGAGTCAATGTTTCACAGCCGGATGGACCAAGCTAAGGTTTTGGGTGTGGTGTCCAAAATATGGCTTCCGAATGATTTACAGGTGGTACCCACAGTGCTGTTCCTGCTACAGATGGCGAAGTTGCCTCACAACAGTATAAATGAATGACAACAGTTACTCATAACATCTCTTTTTATATTAAAGTTCTCGTTTCTATCAACCGTCTGTTAACATTAGATATTAGTTGTTTCTCGTTTTCTTTGAATATGAAAAAATTATTATAATTCTATTTAAATAAAATTTTCTCCCAACAATCAAATGAAATTTGATTTACCATACTTATGCTGGATTCCAAAATTCATAACAATCAATATAAAGCGGGCTCCAGTAAATGCTCTAACCAAGTTTTTTTCTTTACTTCTCGCTAAACTACTGACAGCAGTGAAGGAGAAGCTTCAGGACTACTGTACACTATATTCGAGAAGTGTTGTAAATCAGATGTGGATACTTAAAAATGCCAAAGAGCTTTTGAAATCACAAAATTTTACCAAAATCAATAACATAAAAACGTGCGAATTTTCAACACTTTATACAGCCATTCTCCACGATAAGTTTAAGTCTAAGCTTTTTGACATAATTGACAGCTGCCTTTTCAATAAAAATGGAACTTGTAAATTTATTTATGTTGCCATTGGTCATTTCCAAAATTCTTTCGTTGAAAAACATTCTAACTGTACACATAAGTACTCCGAAGTTGATATAAAAAAGATGATTGAGTTTCAGATTGACAAATATTTATGTAGTTTTTGGAGATCAAGTCTTTCAACAATCTGTCGGAATTCCCATGGATAATTGCGCCACTTTATTATCAGACCTATTTTTATTCATATGAAAAAAATTTAAAATCTTATACATGAGAAAAAGAAATCTCCTGCTGTGGCCTACAACTCGACATTTAGATACATATGTATTGACGACGTATTATCAATTAACAATAGTTATTTCCATTCATATGTCGACTCGATATATCCCAGTGAACTTGAAAGAAAAGATACCACAGAGTCTGACGCATCTGTTTCATACTTGGTTAATTCACTATAAAAAGACGATAATGGAAACCCAACAACAAAACTTTAGGATAAACCTGATGAGTTCAACTTTTCTGTCGTCACCTTCCCTTACTTATGTAGCAATATACCCTTATCACTTGCATATGGAGTTTATATCTCCAGTTGATTCGACACGCGAGAACATGTTCTACAAACAATTACTATAACGAGACAAGCTTTGACAAATAAATTGATGCATATGAAACAAGGATATCAAAGTCCATCTGAAGTCAACATTTAGCAAGTTTTATGGTAGATACAATGACCTTGTCAGCAAATACAGTCTATCATGAAGTCGAATGCTGACTGACGCTTTTTATACTAATTGTAAGGCCATTTTTTACACGGAATTGTCTACGGATTTTTTCCTTTGCCATGACAAGGAGCACATGGCTGGTGTGATCAGTCGATAGGGGATGCTTACTCCTCCATGTCATCTGATCCCACCTCTTATGCTCTTATAGGTCCGGTTTTATGCTCTTATAGATCCGGTGTTTGCTCTGCTCCCCATTTGTATTGTTTTAATGGACTTTTTAGCTTGATTACTGTTCGTTATCTCCATCTTTCACTTCTTTTCCTTTTTTTTCGTTGATTTCTGTCTGCAATGATTCCTCCATTTACAATATATTTATTGTAATAATAATCATTTTCTGTTCATCTACCAGGACATAAATTGTTCTTAGTAGTATTGTTTTCAAATGTTTAGTGCAAGGCAAGCGCTTATTGCTATATGCAGAAAAATGTCAATTTACGGATCCAATGCCACCTGGTGGCTAATGGCAGATCCAATATCTTGATTTGGGGAAATTTTTGTGTACGGCAGATGAAGGTATTTATACGTGCAGTTTTCATCGTACAAATTATTTTAAAAAGTCGAGGTTGACCTTGAAATGTATATGAAAATCCGTGTGTACGATTTGTTCATGTTTCTCCATTTAGTTGATTGAAAAACAAGTGTAAGCAGGTTCATAAGGGACCGAGCAATATTTATCACTAGGGTCGAAACGGTGCAATTTGGATTTGCGAAACTGTCTTCTGCTTCCTTTCACATTTCCAAATTGTCTGAAAATTAATAATATATTTTAGATTAATAAAGTACATGCTATTACAAGAAAAACAATATTAAATATGCCATATTTCATTTCATTGAAAAATAAAAAAGAATTATGGTCAATTCAATATAGCAATATCGAGTGACTGATCTAAAAAAAAACCTGATGATAGTCTATAAAAAACCTAGTCTTTTTACATTATATCATTTAAGATTTAGACAAAGACACACCTAAGATTTAATTGTTTGATTGGAAGATATAACTCCCCTTTTCCCTGAAGTTTATTTCTTAAGTAAGAACGGACGATCGAATATCCAGAATAGGGTTGTCTACAAATTTCGTAGACGATTGCTTTAATTTTCTTAATAATGACCATACTGCCAAACGCATACTGTACAATATCAGTTTAATATAGAATATTTTAAGGTAATGAAAAGAATTAAAACAATACACATTATTTTACGAATGTTATAGGTGTAAATACTTTATATATGCAAGCCGCACCGCCCAGTCTGACGTTCAAACTGAACATGATTCGTAACAGACATAGGTCATAGATGTTTGTCCGCCATATTACTCTGCATTTTCCAATAGTTGCACGGTCCCTATATAAGCCGTTCACTTCGGCTCTATTCAGTGTAATCAGTTTTCACTGGTGTGGACGGACATACTCAACATAGCTATTGTGACTTCTTCCATGGCGCAAGAGAAAGTTACCAAAGAAATTTAAATCAGTTGCACAGGTTAGTGCAGTACAAACAAACACAAGTACACAATTGCAATAAAATGTAAGATAACCGACACGATCACATGTCGTCCATTCCACGCAAGTACTCGTGACAAAAAAGCAGTCAGGTGTAACGAATGCGAAGGATAAACCCAAGTGCTGATATCGAAGATAGAAAACATAATATGGGATATGAATATGCCTATTTACGAGACTTGCTCAGCTTTAAGCTATTTTCATAATAAAGTCAAAATATGGATTTTGAAGTCTTATCACATTTTCATAGACAGATTTTTCCTCTGTATTATGCCACACTGTCAAGTGTGTGCGATAATATTCATTCATAGGCCACTTTTGAGTATTTTTTTTAAAATTCAAATCAATACACAAGCGCCATCAGTATAAACACTTTGTAAGCACATACAGACTTTGTACACATCGCCCAGTCCGACGTTTAGCAAACATCAATGATTAGGGATATGAAAAAGGATGAAGATAACAAACAGTGATCGATCTCAGAAAAACTTCAAACAATACAAATCTGTGAACAGGGCATAAACACGGACCCCTGGAAATTCCAGATCAGGTGCATAGGAGGAGAAAGCATCCCCTGTTGACCGGACACACCCGACGTGAGCTTTATTTATTGATCAAGTAGACGGAACATTACGTAGTCAAATATAATATAAAATCAAAGGTCTAACAATTGGTAGGGAAAAAAATCACTGATAGTCTATATTTTCTTATAAGGTCTTTATAACGACCATAGAATTTACTGAATGCCGACATTAAACGAAGTTGTTAAAATCCCTGTAACATCAATTTATATGTGAGTAGCCTGCCTCGGTTTAAAAACTGGTGGTACTCAGAGAATGCTATCGAGTAGCGAATAAGTTGGGAGACATAAACACCATATGCAAGTGAAAGCGGAATATTACTACATAATAAGGAAGGTTGACGATGGTAAAGCTGAAGTCATCTCGTTTGTCATACAATTTTGTTGTTAGTTGGCCTTTGTCTTCAATAGTCATTAAAACTTCTAAATTTAAAGCAGATTTGACAGACTCTGTGGTGTCTTTTATTTCAAGTTCAGTGGGATAAATCGAGTTGACATGTAAATGGAATTAACTATTGATAATTGACAAAACGTCGTCGATATATTTGAATGTCGAGTTAAGGACACGGCAAGCGTTTCTTCTTGTCATGTAGAAATTTAAAAAAAAAAATTCTGCTTCATATGAATACACAAACAGGACGGTTAATAAAGGAGTACAATAAGTGTTCATCGAAATTCCAACAGTTTGTTGGAAGACTTGGTCTCCCAATACTACATACGAGGGCTGTTCGAAAATTATTCAGACGTTGTGTTTATTCTCCTTTCCAATGAACTCTTAGTAGACCCATAGTTAGAACGAAAATAAGTATAAAGTATTAATTTTTCAATTTTATTTTGACTTCATTTTGTGCAAAGTTCCTTAGAATTTCGATGTGAAATACGGATATCATAAAAAAAATTAAGCAAGGATTAGAAATCTGATTACGACGACAAAATGGATTTTGACGTCAAGGCGGCGCAGCAAACATACCTAAAATTTTGTGTACCTGCAGTCATACAGGGTTTTTCAACAAACATGTCCCGACTTGATGTCTTTATTTTTGCACAGTGATAAAATATTTACAAAATTAAAAATGTATTTTATAGTACATTTTCTGACAATATAATTGTGATATAAACAATTTAAAATAACGTCATCATTTTTTATTTTATTGAAGGTTTGATTACATCTTCAAAAGTCAGGTTGTCAGGTTTTTTTCTATTGATATTTGAGAACTACACTTTGCAAACAGAAAAATGTTCAAAATCACGGATACTAGTGCTTAAGATCTTAAAGAAGAAGTACTCATCTGGGAACCATCTTTCTAGGAAACAGACTTTTCAAATGATGTAAAATTTGTGCAAGACAGAACTTCAGAGACAAAATGATGTTGCTGACTGAAAAACATAAATGATTCAGCATTACTTCAACTCTTATTGATAAAATTGTTTTGTTATGTGGGTTTCTTTTTTGCAAAAATGTTCTGACGTTAATTATGTCTAACTTTTAATTGATAACGCAGAGTCGGTACATGTTTGCTGTTACACCCTGTATGAATAACGTCGCCTGCGTGGTGCAGTGATTAGAGCGTTTGCCTTAGAGTCGTGGTGTAAGGAGTTGATCCTTACGTCGCGAGTTCGAATCCACTGCGGGACGTGGAGACCAGTCCCTCGGATGAGACCGTATAAACCGAGTTCCCTTGTCGCAGAAGGTGTTGGCACGAAAAAGATCCCTCACTGCTTAACGGCCCTGAGCGCCACATATAGGTATAAATTTGAAGCCCTCCACCGGCAACTGGTGGAGTCTCCATATAAGTGAAAAATTCTCGA